ACGTCGAAACGCAAGTAACACAAATAATCTAGGTCTATAATATAAACAAAATAATTTTGGTGTTATTTTTGAGAAATATTATTTCCATCAGTTTTGCAAATACACATTATCCATTGCCTGTTGCTATTGTACTGTATTGCTGCTGCTTTGAACAGTGTATCCTTTGTCTCCCATCCACTGTTAGCAGTGCACATGACAGAATTTTAAGATGTGGGAGTGGGTGTTTCTTACTAAATTCAACTTGTGCATCTTCATTGTTTTATTTTTCTAGATGCTGTGGTTCATCTTTTGTACTGATTCAGTCAGGAGGATTTTTTAAATCCTACTTTCAGAATCTTGTCTATGGAAATGTTTTTACTACCATTATACATCAGAAATAGCTCCTGTAACTTCCCAGCTGCTAAACAATATCAGCTTTTTTTAATCAGTCACACAAGACTGTACCACAATACAACTTGGTAAGGAGCTACAATATAGTACTAAGACTGACGTGTTGAAGGAACTTTGAGTGACACTGCACCTTGTTCAGAGCTGCTGCTTAAAACGTAAGTTCTGTAAAAGGTAGTGAATTGCAGAAATGTCAGAAAGGAGTAATATTTACAGAGCATATCCTTGACTATAAACTGCTTATTTTGCCCTTGTTCTTTTTTGCTCTTTATTTATTTTATGGGTTGTCCTCCTTGGCATCTTTAGGACTCTTAGGTTAGATGGAAGTCATGTCAGGAAGGATTTCACTAATTTCTTATTTTAAACTCTGTGCATTGTTATACTCTTAAGAAGTGTTCACTCCTACTGTGTTCTTAGGAATATATATTTATTGATCTTTTACATTTCCAGTCATGGCAAAGACATGAGTGATTGCTTTTGAAAATGACTCCAGTGAGTGTAGTCAGGCTTATCTATAAAAAAAGACTTCTAAAAAACCAGATGAGCATTAAATTAGTATTTCAATGCCACATAAACTGTAGCAGTCAGTCAGCTACTGGCTTTTCTCTGATTTACCTGCAATTATTATACGTTAAGTTTGTAAAATTAAAAAATGTATTAACTCTATTCAGCTGTCCAAGTCTAAAAGGCTTCTTTAAAAATCAGCTTTTCACCCAAATACTGTAATGTCCAGTATTTCAGAGTTACATTTCACAGAGAAGAAGTGTTTGGGGAATCTATTGTAATCTTTAGGGTCAACCTGCTCGTCAACATACATAAAATATAAAACATCATATAGCTGTGCCCCCTGATTGGTCTATGAACCTTTTGGTTGTAAGAAAGTGTTCTTTATATTAGCTCTGGTACACAACACTTAATGATAAAATGTGACAAAAATATGAACAACAAACAGGTTTGTCGACTTGACTGTAACTCCTGTGTACACAACCGAGTCAGCAGCATAGAAAGCAAAAAAGGAGCATTTTTTAACTGGGAGACTCAAGTGTTATATTATTCGTTCTTTTTATTCCATTGTGGCCACTTGTTGGCATCCCTGTCATGCTGTCCTTGTATCATCTTAGTTGGTCTACTTTTGAATTAATGGTTCTATCTCATGAATTTCCTACTGTCTGAGAAACATAGAAGCATATTCATCACATTCATCACCTAGTATGTAAGCAACAGCAACAGGGTTTGTGTCAGAGTGGATTTTTTTTTGTCTGTTGTAAAATCAATTCTCAGTCCAATTCATACAGGATTTAATGTAAAGGGCATTCACACTGACTCGACACCTGATATTGATAATCAGTTTTGTGCCAAATACTGATGCCATTTGTAAAATAGTCACTTGGGCATATAATATAATAATAGGCTTCACTAACTGCAGGTTCTTTTTGTCAGTTTCAATTTAATGAATTTGTACTGGATAAAATGTGTCTGGACATAAAACTTTGTTGCTTGTTTTGGTTGTCTGAGTCTGTTAGAAAAGTGTCTCTTATTTTATTCTGTGTTTTTTGCATCATATTGAAGCTTGTAGTCATTTGAATAAGCCATAACAGCTTGGGAAATTTGGTTCCCATGTTATGAGGAAAAATACTTAGATTTGTTTTGATTGTCTTTAAAAGGCAAAGTACACACAGTATATTGTGCAAAATAACATGTATGTTTCTTTTGTGACTGTATATAAAGTATTGTCAGGCGAGCCGATATGTGGCCTTTATTTTAAACTTTAAGCTTATTTGTTCTACTCAGGATACTGTGAAGTCTGAAATCTCTGTGACTGGCAGCAGAGAGAGCCAGGCCTATTTGGAAAAAGACTTTTTATTAGAGACAGACTTGTACAGTATTCCTAACTTTCTGGAACACAAAATTAAGCAACCTATCTGCCTTCTTCTTCTTGCCCACAGCATGTATTTAATCAGTAGAACAACATAGTCACCACACTGTTGTGCAGTTCTTTTCTACAACAGATACTGTTTTCATTTCTTGTCCATTTGTTTCTATTTTTCTGCTGTTTGATTACTGAGTTACTGTCAGATATATGATTTCACTGTAAAAAAAATCTTTAAATCTGCAGGATTGGAAGGATCCTTCTGAAATCTGTGAAATAAGTGTCGGCATTTGTTGATGATGGTTTGTTACGGGTTTAAAATAACTGCTAATAATGGTTTCTTTGTTAAAACAAACAAACAAAAAATGCCATTGAATGAAACCTTTGTCTGATTAAAAAGAGAGAGTAGTGAGTACTATTTTGTACTGATGAATTAGCTCTGTGGAAATGTATGTGATGCTGGTTTTACAGTCTTAGTCATTATGTTATTGTACTTTTTTTTTTTTGTTTGTTTGTTTTAACCTGGCCTTTATTAGAAAGCAGCTGGCCAGGTCCCCAGGTATTACCTGGTACTTGGCAATTATTTGAACTGCGGCTCTTATGAGAATTTTCAGTGCCATTAAATCAGCACTGCTCTTTCCATTTAAAAAAGGGTCAATTTGACCTGGACGCAACACAAGGGTTAAATTTGATTGTATTTACATCTATTAAAAAATGGATTATAAAAATGGTATATGGTATGCATCTCTGCATTTAAAACTGGGTAGTTTTGCAGACATCTAAACTTTAGGTTTTTTCAATCTTACATGTCACTTGCTACGTTTGCTTAACAGCAGTAACACTGAAAGCAATGTTTGTCAAAGTCCTCTAATCTTGATTTACCTATTTTAATTCACCCACTCCATTGATAGAAGCTTGATAAACAATTTAGCACACGAAATTAGTCACAACTGGCTTTATTTGCACAACATAAATTAAAAATGAACTACAACAATTTCCTTTTTTGAGA